TGGAGAGTTGAAGTTCCCCAGAACAGGGTTAAGTAGTAAGGAGTAGCTCTGGATCTCGGAAAGGGGGAGAACTACTTTTAGACCCCGATAGTCAAAGATTACTTAAGGGGGTAGAATGCCCAAAGGTTGAACCGGAGACCAGGGTGTTGCACCATAATGACGCAACTGTTTCTTACGCAATCCCCAACAAAAAACCATAAATCATTATTTGATATATTATGTGACAGAAGACGAAACGAATGCTAGGGTCACTAGCAAATCGAAAACTGGATGATACAGTACTGGTCAAAGTAACTAGAAAGGCTACCAGCTTAAGAACCAAACGGCTAATTATATCCAAGTAAGAAATGTTTGTCCTCGTATAAAAAAGGTACAAAAAAAAGACAAAAAAAAACAAAAAACAAACTGAGTGTTGTTTTTTCAATTCGTGCCTTCACTCGCCGCGCCAACTTTTCATCTTTTTCATTTGCGAGGGCAGCTGTTATTATGGGTGTTGATATTAGCTTTACGCCGTTGATGATTTCTTTGATTCGTGGCACACCCTGCAAAAACAGCTGACTTGAAATGCAATTTTTCCTGCCTGATTTAGTGGAAACCTTTAAACATTTTTCTCGTACAAACGCCCGTTGAACAGGAAATCTTGTAGAATAAAGCTGATGCTATGGAAAAAAACAAAAGTTTCCGTCAAGTCAGAGAAAAAACAAGCCTGTGTGATGTTCATTGATGCAACACCGGCGAAGTGAAATGTTTTCAGTGTCATTTGAGTGGACGGCTCACCTGCAAACAAAAGGCATAAAATGAAATTTGTGGTGGAAACCACCTGAAATTTTCGGCCTCAATACTCTTATATCGGCAAAATACGGTGAAAACCTCACAGCTCATATACAATTGACCCTTGTGCGAAGTTCTTCATTACATAATAGTGGTATTGAGGCTAGCAAAGAATCACTAGTGAATCAGCTCAAGACCAAAGAACTGTCCAACAAATGCAAAAACTGAAGGTATTTTCGTTGGAAAAAAAAGTACTGAAATCCCAACATCACCAAAAATAATAAGCCTAATTTCAGCTGATTTTGGTAACAGCCACTACAACAGGGCTAATCACAACGAAATGATAACTGTACTAATTTAAAGTCAAAAGTTCTTTCATACCCATATTCTACGAAAGACCGATGCACTCGGAAATAACCCATGCGACAGTATGAG